ATCACTTGTGGTCAGGAGTTTGAGACAAGCCTGGCCAACATGGTGAAACCCTGTCTCTACCAAAAATACAAAAATTAGCCGGGCGTGGTGGCATTCGCCTGTAGTCCCAGCTATTCTGGAGGCTGAGGCAGGAGAATCACTGGAACCTGCCGTGAGGTGGAGCTTGCAGTGAGCCAAGATTACCACTGCACTCCAGCCTGAGTGACAGAGCAAGACTCTGTCTCAAAAACACACACAAAAAAAACCACCCCCCAAAAATTTGGTTTTCATACCCTGTTTCTTGCACGTTAGCTCCCAAACCCCTTGGAAGCTCTGGAGTGAAAAGAGTTTTTGTATGCTAATGAGTTGACTGGTGTCTGGGAGCCCCTAGATAGCTTCTTTCTGGGCTGGTTGCCAGAAGGACCAAGGCATATGACAGGAAAAAACATTTTTTCTTTCTTTATACTCCTTTATATTCACACCACTCTCAATACTTTTGATACCAAACCATATAGTAGGAGAAAAGAAACTGTTTTCTCCTACTGTACTCTCAATACAGACCACTTCTGTGATCAGATCTGTGGTGTTTTTTTTTTTCCAATACAGAGCAATTCTATTTTCAGCAGACATCAGTTGGGTGCCCTAAAATTTACCTCAGTTCTGACGGTAAACAGCGTTAGCATAGACCTCACAAGTGAGCGGCTCACTTCCACAAGACGGCCACCCTCAGATGCCAATTCAGGTAGTAGGTCTCTGGATTAACCACAACACCTGTCAGTCTTGGCTACAAATTGGAGGTTCCTACACCTCGCTCCCTGGGTTTGATAATTTGCCAGAGTGCTCACAGAACCCATGAAAAGTTTACTTACTTTATTACAAAGGATATTTTGAAGGATACAGATGAACAGCCAGATGGAAGACATACATAGGGCAACCTAGGGGGAAGGAGCTTGAAGCTTCCATGCCTTCTCCAGCACACCCCCCTCCCAGCACTTCAGTGTGTGCAGCATCCTGGATACTTTCCAAACCCCATTTTTGGGGGGTTTTATGGAGGCCTACATATGCATGATTGATTAAATCACTGGCCATTGGTTATCAACAACTTTGAGCCCCTCTCCCCTCCCTGGAAGTTAATGGTAAGTGAAGTGCCTTCCTGAGTTCTGTGAGTCATATTAGCAGATAATCAAACGTGAGGCCCTCCTCAGGGGATCTTGGAATCCCACAGTTTATAGTCCATTGGTCAGAAGTACAGGTGGAAACCTGGGACTTGCGGCTGGCACCTGCAATGGGGCAGTGGCCTAAACTGTAGTGCTATGCTAATTCTGGGTAGTTAGTGTCAGAATCAAATTGAATTGTAGGATACCCAGTTGGTGTCAGAACTGGTTGTTGGCGTGGGAAGAGCCCAGAAATTTGGTGTCAGTAGTGTTGTGAGTAAAAACAATTCAGACCACTTTTTTTTTTTTGAGGGGAGACAGAGTCTCGCTATGTCGCCCAGGCTGGAGTGCAGCAGCGTGATCTCAGCTTACTGCAACCTCCGCCTTCCATGTTCAAGCGATTCTCTTGCTTCAGTCTCCTGAGTAGCTGGGATTACAGAAGTGCATCACCACACCCAGCTAATTTTTGTATTTTTAGGAGAGACGGGGTTTCACCAAGTTGGTCAGGCTGGTCTCGAACGCCTGATCTCATGATCTATCCACCTCGGCCTCCCAAACTTCTAGAATTACAGGTGTGAGCCACCGTGCCCAACCTCCGACCACTTTTTAACTGTTATGAACAATGCTTCTGTAAACATTCATATACAAGGTTTTGTGTGGGCATGTTTTTATTTCTGGGTATATATTTAGGAGTAGAATTCCTGGGTCATATTGGTAACTCTGTTTAATTTTGTAATAAATTTCTAAGCTGTTTTCCAAGGCAGCTGCAACATTTTTCATTTCCACCAGCAATATATGAGGTTTCCAGTGTTTTCTCCCTTTTTTTTTTTTTTTTTTTTTAGAGTCTCACTCTGTCACCCAGGCTGGAGTGCAATGGTGCCATCTTGGCTTATTGCAACCTCCACCTCCCAGGGTCAAGCAATTCTCCTGCCTTAGCCTCCCTAGTGTCTGAAATTACAGGCATCTGCCAACATACCTGCCTAATTTTTTTTTTTTTTTTTTTTTTTTTGAGACAGTTTTGCTCTTGTTGCCCAGGCCAGAGGCGCAATCTCGGCTCACCGCAGCCTCTGCCTCCTGGATTCAAGCAATTCTCCTGCCTCAGCCTCCCAAGTAGCGGGGATTACAGGCATGCACCACCATGCCCAGCTAATTTTGTATTTTTAGTAGAGACGGGGTTTCTGCATGTTGGTCAGGCTGGTCTCGAACTCCCGACCTCAGGTGATCCACCTGCCTCGGCCTCCCAAAGTGGTGGGATTACAGGCTTGAGCCACTGTGCCTGGCCATTTTTTGTATTTTTACTAGAGACGAGGTTTCACCATGTTGGCCAGGCTGGTCTCGAACTCCTGACCTTAGGTGATCTGCCTGCCTCGGCCTCCCAAGGATTACAGGTGTGAGCCACTGTGCCCAGCCCCTTTGCCTTTTATTTATTTATTTATTTGTGTTTTTGAGATGGGGTCTGGCTCTATTGCCCAGGCTGGAGTGCAGTGGCACCATCCTGGCTCACTGCAGCCCTCGCCTCCTGGATTCAAGCAATTCTCCTGCCTCAGCCTCCCAAGTAGCTGGGACTACAGACACCTGCAACCACGCCCAGCTAATTTTTGTATTTTTAGTAGAGACAGCATTCACCGTGTTGGCCAGGCTGGTCTCGAACTCCTGACCTCAGGTGATCCACCCTCCTTGGCCTCCCAAAGTGTTGGAATTACAGGCATGAGCCACCGCACCCGGCCTACCTTTGACTACTTCTCGGCCTTTTGGCTAAGATCAAGTGTAGTATCTGTTCTTATCAGTTTATTTTACATTTATTTATTTATTTATTTTTTGAGAGGGAGTTTCCCTCTTGTCACCCAGGCTGGAGTGCAATGGCGTGATCTCGGCTCACTGCAACCTCCGCCTCGTGGGTTCAAGCAATTCTCCTGCCTCAGCCTCCCAAGTAGCTGGGGTTACAGGCATGCACCACCACACCCGGGTAATTTTTGTATCTTTTGTGGAGACGGGGTTTCACCATGTTCCTCAGACTGGTCTCAAACTGCTGGGCTCAAGCAATATTCCTGCCTCAGCCTCTCAAAGTTCTGGCATTACAGGTGTTAGCCACTGTGCCGTTTTCACTTCCTGTATGATGATCTTTGAAGCACAAAAGTTTTTAATTTTGATGAAGTTTAATAGATATACATTGGTGTCATATCTAAGAAACTTTACTAATCTAAAGCCTAAACTTTTTACACCTATGTTTTCTTCTAAGAGAAACAATCTTAGCTCTTATATTTATGACCTTGATCTATTTTGAGGTAATTTTTCTACATGGTGTGAAGGACTCTGTCTTTATTCTTTTGTATGTTGATGTCCAGTGGTCCCAGCATCCTTTGTTGAAAAGCCTATTCTTTTTTTTTTTTTTTCTTTTTTTTTTTTTTTGAGATGGAGTCTCACTCTGTCGCACGATCTCGGCTCACTGCAAGCTCCACCTCCCATATTCATGCCATTATCTGGCCTCAGCCTCCTGAGTAGCTGGGACCACAGGCATCTGCCACCACGCCTGGCTAATTTTTTTGTATTTTTAGTAGAGATGGGGTTTCACTGTGTTAACCAGGATGGTCTGCATCTCCTGACCTCATAATCCGCCTGCCTTGGCCTCCCAAAGTGCTGGGATTGCAGGTATGAGCCACCGCTCCTGGCCAAAAAGCAAGCCCATTGAGTTATCCTGGCACTCTTGTCAATATCAATTGACCATGAATGTAAGAGTTTATTTCTGAACTCTGAATTCTAGTTCATTGATCTGTGTGTGTATCCTTATGCTGGTGCCATACAGTTTTGATTACTATAGTAATCAAAGTCTTTCAACTTTGTTTTTCTTTTCCAAGATCGTTTTGGCTATTCTAAGTGTTGCATTTCCATATGAATCTTAGGATAAGCTTGTCTTTTTTGTTTGTTTTATGAGATGGAGTTTCGCTCTTGTTGCCCAGGCTAGAGTGCAATGGCGTGATCTCGGCTCACTGCAACCTCTGCTTCCCAGGTTAAGCGATTCTTCTGCCTCAGCCTCCCAAGTAACTGGGATTACAGGCATGTGCCACCATGCCTGGCTAATTTTGTATTAGTATTTAGTAGAGACGGGGTTTCTCCATGTTGGTCAATCTGGTCTCAAACTCCTGACCTCAGGTGATCCACCCGCCTCGGCCTCCAAAGTGCTGGGATTATAGGCGTGAGCCACCACACCCGCCCTTGTTTGTTTTTTGAGACAGAGCCTCACTCTATCACCTAGGCTGGAGTGCAGTGGCATAACCTCGGCTCACTGCAGCTTCCGCCTCTCGGGTTCAAGTGATTCTCCTCCCTCAGCCTCCTGAGTAGCTGGAATTACAGACATCCACCACCATGCCTGGCTAACTTTTGTATTTGTAGTGGAGATGGGGTTTCGCCACGTTGGCCAGGCTGGTCTCGAACTCCTGGCCTCAAGTGATCCTCCCACCTCAGCCCTACCCTATTTTTAAAAAACAGCTCTCTCAGCTTCGTACTCATGTCTGAACAGCATATTGTGATGCTTTAGTTGGTTTCGAGCTTCCTAAGCTCTGAGGTTTTCCATTCACCATCCCTGACTGATTAGAACCCCCTGCTGTGTGCTTACTTAGTGCCAAGTGTGTCTTCTATTTTAGTACTAAAGGGACTGTATGTAAATGTTTGTTTCAGTGTTTCTCTTCTATTGCTTCTTGAGAACATGGATCACAGATTGTATTCTACTGCCTTACACAGTGTCTAGTATGTGATAAGACACTAAAGAAATACTTGTGGAATGAGTAAATGAATGTTTTGTTCTCTGCTTTTCTGGAAACTAACTTGTTGGTTTTTGTGTTTCCTTTATATTTTTCCCTGGGCTCCAAGGAGGAGGCATCTCCCTATTCCCTACTTGATATCTGCTTGAATTTCTTGACTACTCACCTTGAGAAGTTCTGTTCAGCCAGACAAGATGGAACATTGTGTCTGCAGGAACCTGGAGTATTCCCACAGGAGGTGGCTGATCGACTGCTTCGGACCATGGCTTTTCATGGTAAAAAAATAAACAGAGGAAACAAAAATTATGTGCTGTTAATTGGATTGGATTTTGAAGTGCTACAGTAGCCATTTAATTATTTTCTTAGAAATAACCGGCCGGGCGCGGTGGCTCAAGCCTGTAATCCCAGCACTTTGGGAGGCCGAGGCGGGCGGATCACGAGGTCAGGAGATGAGACCATCCTGGCTAACACGGTGAAACCCCGTCTCTACTAAAAATACAAAAAGAAATTAGCCGGGCGTGGTGGCCTGTATAGCACTGACAAGAATGGAACCACAGTGAGCCAATGCCACTCACTCACAGACGGACTCCGTCTCAAAAAAAAAAAAAAAAAAAAAAAAAAACCAAGAAGGCCACGTGAGCCTGATTCCAGGACTGTGAATTCATTTATTTTTACCTATCTTGCCTCTTAACTGTGTAATTTAGAATAAACATTTTTTTTTTTTTTTTTTTCCTTGACAGGGTCTCACTCTGTTACCCAGGCTGGAGTGCAGTGGTGCAAACATGACTCACTGCAGCCTCAACCTCCTGGGCCCAAGTGATCCTCCCAGCTCAGCCTCCCGTGTAGCTGGGAGCACAGGCTTGTGCCACCACGCCTGGCTAATTTCAACGTTTTTCATTTCTAATGTGGCAAACCTTTTTTTTTTGACTTTGAAACGTCTTTTTTTTTTTTTAAATTTTTTAAGAAACGGTCTTGTTCTGTTGCCCAGGCTGGAGTGCAGTGGCACAAAGCTCCTGGGTTTATGTGATCTGATTCAGCCTCCTGAGTAGCTGGGACTACAGCTTGGCTAATCTTTTTATTTTTATTTTTGTAGGGATAAGGTCTCACTCTGTTGCCAAGGCTGGCCTCAAACTCCCTGCCTCAAGTAATCTTCCATCCTTGGCCTCCCAAAGTACTGGGATTATAGGCATGAGCCACCATGCACAGCTGAGAAGTCATGTCAGAAATAACTCCTATAACTTGTATCCATTTAGAGGTTTGCCAGTATAAAATATCTTACCTCGGGCCGGGCGTGATGGCTCATGCCTGTAATCCCAGCACTTTGGGAGGCCAAGGCAGGTGGATCACCTGAGGTCAGGAGTTCGAGACCAGCCTGGCCAAGATGGTGAAACCCCATCTCTACTAAAATACAAAAATTAGCTGGATGTGGCAATACATGCCTATAATCCCAGCTACTCGGGAGGCTGAGACAGGAGAATCACTTGAACCCAGGAGGCAGAGGTTGCAGTGAGCCAAGATCGTACCACCGCATTCCAGTTGGGGTGACAGAACGAGACTCTGTCTCAAAACAAACAAACACAAAAAAACCCTTGTATCTTCTTTTGACAGTGGGAGAATTATTACTGTTATGGAAAAACTAATTTCTGATTTTGACCTTTGAGATGGGAAATCACAGCCAATTTAGTACTTTGATTTTCAAAAACCAATTCTGAAAATCAATTGAGAAGTTCTTATCTGTGTAGTTTTGCTTATGTATGGAGTATTTTTGTTACTTCAAGTTTTAATTTGAAAGAGATATACCTTGGCTGGGCGCGGTGGCTCACACCTGTAATCCCAGCACTTTGGGAGGCCGAGGTGGGCGGATCACGAGGTCAGGAGTTCGAGACCAGCCTGACCAACATGGTGAAACCCCGTCTCTACTGAAAATACAAAAACTAGCCAGGTGTGGTGGCGCACACCTATAGTCCCAGCTACTCGGGAGGGTGAGACAGGAGAATCGCTTGAACCCAGGAGGTGGAGGTTGCAGTGAGCAGAGATTGTGCCACCGCACTCCAGCCTGGGCGACAGAGCGAGACTCTGTCTCAAACAAACAAAAAAACCAAAAACCAAAAACCAAACAAACAAAAAAAAAGCTAAGATACACCTTTATATCTTTACAGTTGGTAAATTCACAAGTATGGAATATGATTTGTCCACAGCTATAGAATAGAATAAAAATTTGGCAATAATAATAGCTGTCATTTATTGAATGCCTATGTGCCAGGCATTTTACATACATTTTCATGGAATTTTCGCAAAAACTCTATAAGGTAGCTATTATCATCCCCATTTACATACAGATAAACTGAGGTTGAGAAGTAACTTGCTGAGGGTCAAACTGCAAGTAAATAGTGGAGTCCTAATTCATGTGCAAGTCTGTCCAACTTTAAATATATGCTCATCCCACTGTGCCACACAGCCTTCCTACACCTGTATTGGAGGTATCCCTGCTCCTGGATGCCAGATAGTGGTTTATACTTTTGCTGTGACTTTATATGTATAAAACTGTTAAGTATAAGTGCCAATAATGTGTTCCAAGGAAGAGTAGGATGAAATGAGGCTGTAACTGAGGCATTTTGGGATAATTTAGGAAAGAAGAAGACCTCTACATTCCTTGTTTTTCACGAAGTTCCTCATGCCTGCAGTCTCTCTGAATTTTTCCAACCTGTCATAATAACTAGGGTAAATTTTTCTATTATATATGTTAAAGTTAAAAGTCCCCTACACAGCTGTACAACCGTTTAAGAGATTGTGCCAGTGGTAGCATTTCTTTCTAATCTCAATTTAATGATTATGCTTAGTATATTATTATTATTATTTATTTATTTTTTTGAGATTGAGTCTCGCTGTGTCGCCCAGGCTGGAGTGCAGTGGTGCAATCTTAGCTCACTGCAGCCTCCACCCCCTGAGTTCAAGCGATTCTCCTGCCTCAACCTTCTGAGTAGCTGGTACTACAGGCACCTACCACCACACCCAGCTAATTTTTGTATTTTTAGTAGAGACAGAGTTTCACCATGTTGGCCAGGTTGATCTTAAACTCCTGACCTCCAGTGATCCACCTGCCTTGGACTTCCAAAGTGCTGGGATTATAGGCATGAGCCACCGCATCCGGCCAGTGCTCAGTATGTTAGATTTAAAAAAGAAAACTCATCTTGTAAATCAAAAGAACAAATGCTAAGGCCTTAACTTTGCCAGATTCAGTTATCCTTTGGAAATGTAACTACTGATAGCTAATAGTAGTAGCTAACATTTATTGAATGCTTATTATTATATGTCAGGCACTATAGCAAATGCTTTATATGAATAAGATAATAGGAGTGGGTTTTAAGCAAGTCTAACTAAATATTTGTCCTCAGAGTAATGTCTTGGAGAGGCTACACACTTGAAATGTATTTTCTATCTCTTCTTTTCAAACTGCCTTCAGATAAGGAAACTGAGGGTCAGAAAAATAACTTGTTGCCCCTAATTGTGTTCACCCCAGTGTGATTACCTGTTTTATTCATCAAGAAGGGTTCTGAATTATTTAATCTCTTTATACAAATCGTATCCATCTTTAGTCAAGATTTGATACTACTGAGAATATGCAAAAGAACATGTTGCCAGTTCTTGTCTCAATTTGTAAAAGTTGCTTTATACATTTTTCTTTGTGTTTGAAAATATTCATACTGAGAAAACAGTTGTTCGATTGATACTTTTATTTTTTATTTATTACTGTTATTATTTTTTTCTTGAGACAGAGTCTCGCTCTGTCACCCAGGCTGGAGTGCAGTGGCACAATCTCGGCTCACTGCAACCTCTGCTTCCCAGGTTCAAGCAGTTCTCGTGCCTCAGCCTCCAGAGTAGCTGGGGTTACAGGCATATGCCACTACACCTGGCTAATTTTTGTATTTTTTTTTTAGTAGAGATGGGATTTCACCATGTTTGCTAGGCTGGTCCTGAACTGACCTCAAGTGATCTACCACCTAGTCCTTCCAAAGTGCTGGGATTACAGGAGTGAGCCACCGCTCCCAGCCTTGTGGATACTTTTAAAATTGGTAATATCAGCCGAGGGCAGTGGCTCACACCTGTAATCCGAGTACTTTGGGAGGCCAAGGCAAGCAGATCACCTGAGGTCAGGAGTTTGAGACCAGCCTGGCCAACACGGCAAAACCCTGTCTCTACTAAAAATACAAAAATTAGCCCGGTGTGGTGGCGGGTGCCTGTGCTCCCAGCTACTCGGGAGGCTGAGGCAGGGAGAATTGCTTGAACACGGAGGTGGAGGTTGCAGTGAGCCAAGATTGCGTCATTGCACTCCAGCCTGGGCGACAGGGTGAGACAGTGTCTCAAAAAAACAAAAAAACAGAACAACAAAAACAAAAAACTGGTAATATCGTACTGTTTCTAACAGCATATTGATCCTAGAAAATGTTTAACATGTACATTTAAAATTTTTTACTTATTTACTCAATTCAAAGGATTAATGATATTAGTAGCAGTCTTTTTTGCATGTGTTAAACAATTTTCTATTTCTTCTTTTATTTTTTGTAGAGACAGGGTCTTGCCATGTTCCCCAGGCTGGTCTTCAGCTACTGGTCTCAAGTTAGCCTCCTGCCTCAGGCTTCCAAAGTACTGAGATTACAGGCATGAGCCAACATGCCCGGCCTACTTTTTTTTTTTGAGATGGAATCTCACTCTGTCGCTCAGGCTGGAATGCAGTGGTACAGTCTTGACTCACTGCAGTCTCTGCTTCCTGGGTTCAGTTGATCCTCCTGGCTCAGCCTCCCAAGTAGCTGGGACTATAGGTGCCTGACACCACGCCCAGCTAATTTGTGTATTTTTAGTAGAGACAGGGTTTCACCATGTTGGCCAGGCTGGTCTTGAACTCCTGACGTCAAATGATCCACCTGCCTTGGTCTCCCAAAGTGCTGGGATTACAGGCGTGAACCACTGTGCCTGGCCCTGGCCTATTTTTAAATTGACATAAAATAATTGTACATATTTATGGGATATGTAATGATGCTTCAATACATATAATGTATAGTGATAAGATTGGAGTAATTAGCATACTCATCATCTCAAACATTTGTATTGGAAATATTTACTATCATTCCTTCTAGCTATTTGAAACTAAGAATTATTGTTAACTGTAGTCATCCTATAGTGTGTAGAACACTAGAACTGACTCCTCCTGTCTAGCTGTAATTCTGTATCCTTTAATCAATTTCTGCCTGTCCTCGTCTTCCCTCTACAAGTCGCC